TTGAGGTCAAACTCCTGCAAAACAGGCCTGATCACTTCATACATGATCTCCTTCAGCTGCTGCTCGTAGCCTCCACCTATGGGAAACAGCACACACGCCCAAGGGCTTCCCTGTGGTTAAAGATTTCATTTACCATCCATCTCCTTATCTGAATGGAAAGAAACGCTTGTCCCTAAGAGCCCTCCGTATCTTAGCACCCATCTTGGCTCACTGTCTCCTTATGGCCCGGAGCCGAGATGGCAGCAAGTGGAGACGCTGCTGATCCCTGGCCTGCCCTGCTCTCGGCTTCTTTCACGATACGTCAGGATGGCATCCCGGGATCAGCTGGCCAAAGGGCTGGATGGGATGGATGTCTCCCCTCCTCTGTGATTCCGGGGAATCACTCACCCACTCTCCCGGCCTCGATCACCCTCTCGTCCCCGAAAATCCTCTCCAGGGTCCTGTAGCAGGCGTCCATGCTCCGGATGCTGTTGGGCAGGACGTAGCCCCAACACAGGCGCTGTCCCACGCCGGTCTCTACCAGACAGGTGAAGCAGCCGGCATTGGGACCAGCAAGCAGGAGGCAGAGCCAGACGGTGCTCAGCGCGCCGGCGCCTCTCCCCGGTCCGGCCATCGACGCGGTCGGGAGATGCTCCGGACAGGCGGAAGTCAAAATGTAAACTTCGGAAAACTCAACTCAGATCTGCCCCACCACCCCCTTGTGTTTTCACTGCTGTTGCTGTGGTTGCCCGGCAACCTGTGTGACATCAGCCCCTTGCGGTGACATCACAAAGGAGTTCCCATCACCTCACACCCCCAGATGTCTCAGATGAGGTCACCACCTGCGAGGGGGGAGAGAACTTCTGTGCCGTTTCCGATGTTGTTTTTTGAAAAGGTTTTTTTCCAAACTGAGCAGACGAACTACGCCACAGGTAACCGAAACCCCCTATGGAAATCAAGAGGAGGAAGAGGGGCCGATCGGACTAGCTCTGAATTCGAAAGGAAGAAGGGAACGAGTCTCACTGTGCTGGTGCCATGGACCCTGCGCCAGCTCTCTGTTTCCTTAAGAAGAGCTGATTTGCAGTCAGGCACACAAATAAAAGATGTCATCTCTTATGTCCCTGAAAAAAAGTAACTTACATGAATCATGGAAGAATTTTCCAAGAATTCTGGAAGCGGATGCAGGCCTCTGTCCCAATATTAAAACTATCCT